TTATGATCTAGAATGCCTTTTATGATAAAGCTGCAGGTGATATAAACTGGTAAAAAGCTAACAGCAAGAATAAGTAGCTATCACAACATAACGTGTCTGTCTTTTGGTGTTCAGCAGAATGTTTTTCTTTATTACGTTATGAACGAGGTATAGCTGTGTCATACGTAATGGCATTAAGAGCATCACTGAGGTCATCTGGAAAATGATGGTGTGGAAATAAAACTGTTCGAGGCCATCCATGTAGGGAAGAAATCCATGTGATTCATTAACAATTCATCATGTAGAAAGCTCTGGCATTTATATTTCAGGGATGAAATGCATTCCTTTTTGCACTTCTCTTCCATCTGTTGGGGAAAAGTCTTGCAATGTAAAACTTAAGTGTTAAACATATTTTGTTGAATTGGAGAGAAAGCTGAGAAGTGACCTGTTTGTGAAGCATGAGGGCATCTCTGGCTTGCTGACAAAAGAAAAAAAAAGTCATAATGATGGCAAGGGAAAAAACAACTTGTAACATCACGTAAAGCAAGGGAATTATGATGTTAGTTTTTTTTTTCTTCTCTATGCGAAACTGAATCTAAACAAAAGTCTGGATAAAACGTTCAGTTTCTACTTACATGCTCCTGTCTCTTCTGTATGATTTCCATGTTATGGATGATGATAAAGCTAAGATCTTTATTGTCTTGCATGTCTCACCCAAAAATAGGTACACAAAGGAGCCTGAGACAACGTGGCAATGTATCAGGGCTGTGTGGTCTATGCTAGAACAGTGGTTGTGACAAAATACTAAGACTCAGAGCTTCTCTTGATTATTTTTGGATCAGGAAAAACTTGTTCTTGTAGTTTATAGTTGGATTTCTTAACCTTCCACTTTCCTTTGAGATCGGTTGCTTTAGGAAGTGCAGTATTGAATACAGTTCAGCTGTGCCTTCAGATTCAACAGCTGTCCATCTTTAATTCTTCTGCTGGTGTAGCTTCCTTGCAGACTGCCTTGTATAAGACTTCTGTCTGGGAAGCAGTTTCCCCTAAGGCAGGTTGGCAGGGTATTTTTTCCCATCTTTTTCTGTAGCACTGGGGACAGAACATGTGCATTGCCAGCTGGAATTGCTTATGTACTTCTCACTGAAGAGCTCTCCTGCCATATCAGAGGCTGGGGATAATTATGGCATTTTAGGTGTCTCTTCCCTTTCTTGTTGAAATGTAGTCAATTTAATTTTCTGAGATTGAGGCATTTGGCCGAGCTAATGCTTCAAGCTTTAGGTAAGTATAGTTGAGCGAGATGCAAGGGCTGTGATAGGTGCCATGGTGACTGATGTAGCATCTCCTTAAATTAGTCTCCAATCATATATATAATACACATAATTTCCAGATACCTGGAGATTTCAGCAGATTTATTTAATTATAATGCACAACTGCTCATATAATGCAACATAAAATCAAGGAATAAGTAGTGCTAGCTTCAACGAGCCTCAATTATATACATATAGGATATTTCTGCTTAGGATGTGCCCACGCCCCTTCCCCTCCTCTTTATCCAGTGAGGATGTATCAAGCTGTAGCCTGATACGTAGTATGAATTCTGCAGCGTAACGATTATCACTATCCAATAAACACAGGAAAAGAATGAAGATTGCACTGCATCTAATGGATCTTTAAAATCAATGTAGCCTATTTCATTTTCCTCATGGTGTCACTGTAGGATAAAGTTAATGTTCTCTGGGCATCCTCCATATTAGAATATGCTTGTGATTTCCTCTGTCTCACCCTGAATTTCTGATGCTTGCTTAAAGGGGATGATAAGAAACACATTGACTTGAAAGTTGAACATGTACTCTCTGTCATTGAACATCCTTAACACTGTGCTGGAATATTATTTTTTTGCTATTTAAAAAGCAGTTAATATTATAATAAATTTGGCTTTGTATTACGATTAGAGAATCTGAACAGTTCTAATGACTTGAAGGCAGGAATTGTCATGTTTAAGAAAATGACAAAAGGTGTGCATCTTCTAAAGAGATTTGCTTGTGATGTTAAATCCTTAGCACTTTTTCTATACGTGAGGAAATGGCTCAAAGCCCTGTTTTTCCCAAGCAGGAAACATTTTGAGTTCAGATTTTTTGACTGATAAAAAAGTAGTTTTCTTTTCCATGTTCTTGATGGCAAAAAAAAAACAAAAAAAAAAAAAAAAAAAAAAACAGAGAGAACTTTGTTTCATTTACATATTAATCTCCTTTTTTTCTGTCCAGTTGCTACTACCTAACCCACATTCTCAAAGAATTTAAATGCCTGACTTCCACAGGAGAAAAGTGGAAGATGTGGCAGTAGTGAGTACATGCATACGTTAAGTAGGACTGAAGAGAAATTAGCCTGTGGTGTTGTACAGGAGAGGAGCCAGTCATGGAAATGCACGTAGGATGTATTCTTCCTTCAAGGTAAGAACCATTGGCCATTTCTCTTATTTCCCTCTGCTGCCTCTCGAAGTCAGACAGCAGCACTTTGGCTGGTTGCACTCAGGATTCAGTTGTCTAGTCAGTAGGAAGGAGCTCTTCCAGCACTTACACAAGATCTGTATCCCAGTGAGAAATCTGGCTGCAGGAAAATCTTATTTGTTTCAGGTTGCTGAACTTTTGATCAGCCTCCAACCAGCTTGGGTTATGAGCCCCCAGTCAATGTGAATCAGAGTGTTCAAAGGTGGGTGGGATAGCAACATGACCAGGAACATTAACTGAGCTTGTTTAGCAAAGAATTTGGTTCACCTTAAAGAAGTTACAGAGCACTGAACAGCTTTAGAGCACTACAGAATTACAGTCTGAGCAATACTCCCCGTACTTTCCTGTGAGTTGAAAATCCTGGCAATGTTTACCTCTGGCTAAGAGCTGTAAAGCAGCTGGTCTTTTTACATGAGATAATGGATACCCCTCTTCCTTGTACATGCCCTCATTTAAATACTGTCTCTGATCCCTGTGCTGTGTCTCTCACTTACACGCTTGTCACTGTCACTCAATTCTTGTGTAGAGCTGATTGTTCTTTGAGGTTGTAGTCAGCAGTTTGGAGACAGTTGAAGTTACTATTTCTGACTGTTGTCTTGATCTCATCTTAGACATCATTCCCCAGTGAAGTGTGAAGCCGAGTAGATGAACAGAACATATTGAAAGAAAACTAGGGCAAAATTAGATGAGTGTTCTGCACATGACACAAACTGTTTTAATCTAGAATGGAAGCTACATAGCAGTGTTTCATCTTTGGACATAAAAGCTTATTAGTTGTCTAGAATGCTATTTTATTTCCCCCCTGGAAAAGGATGGGCACAACCTCTTTCATGACCTCCTAATTACCTACCCAGTGGCACCATCTGATGGCCACACCAGTTGGTGATGCTGAGATGTAGAGTTGAATCTGAAAGCTGCGTTTAGCATTGAGATTCTGCAGGAGAAGCAGCCCTTCACACACTTGCTTGCAGTACACAAGAACCAGATGTGTGCCTCCTCCCCTCAGTTGTGAGCTGTAGCTCATCTGGCTTTAAATAAACGCCAGGCCAGATTGGAGTAATCACTATGTCCAGTCTCAAAAGCAATATCTCCTTCAGAAAATCTTCCAGTTCCATAACACGATATCCCCCTTGTTTTCTCAGGAGTTCCTCCTGTTCCCGGAAGCTTTTTACCTTGTATTTTAGAGACCTCACTGCTAATGATGAAAATCCTTTGTCACTCACACTTACATCACTTTGATTCCAGTTTCTTTATCATCCCATATGAAGTGCAATCTATCTCCTCTCATCTTAAGCAGCACTCCACCCTCCCAGTGAAGGTGGTTGTTGCAATTAACTCCTGTTTTCATGACAGCCAAATGCTCCAGTTTCTTCATGTACTCTCCTTGACTGCCTTTCTTCCCTCTTTTCTTGAGTAGTGAACAAGAAAAGCAGTCTTCCTCACTTTCTGATCTTTTGGAGGTGTCTGGCTTCTTCTCTGTCTTAACTTTTAAGATTGACCATTGTTTTCTCACTTCCTATAAAATTCCAACATTCTACAGACAAAAAAAAAAAAAGAAACTGGCTGTTCACCTTCACCAAGATGAACTAAAGATCAAATAGTAACTACTTTGAGCTAGTGCAGATTTGTGTCCTGTATTCAGAGAAGGCTCTATGGGTCTGAAGAAAGGAACACTAACATTACCCTATGCTATAGAGGAGACTCAATCTATTTGCCTCCAGTGGGTTTGTGCTAGGATCAGCCAGTGCAGGAGATGTTTGCTTCTAAAATCCCAAGTTTCTACAAATACAGAAGAACTTTATGCCTGCAAATCTTACTTGTCCTTCCACTATCAATGTCTGTCTGCTGTGAGGGCTCCAGCTGTGCACTGACTTGCTGCGTCCCCAAACATTTCTCTTCACACTCATTCTCTGCGCTACCAGTCCTTCATCTTCCATCAGTATTTCTAGCCTCCCTCAGTCACTTTTGCCCCTTATCCTTGCTCCCAATCAATTCCAGCTGCTCACTATCGCCACCTGACCTCTTTGCCATCTCTTTGATGAATCTGGATCAAATTTCTCCTGCAAGTTGCCAGTCCCTCTTATTGCTTCAATTTGTCTGATTGGAGTTGTGCTACACCTCTTGCCTCATCCTTAAACGTTTGGGGTCACTCAGCTGCATTAGCAGCACCCCAGTTTATGGCTTGAAAACTGGCCACTTTTGTACTTTTGGAGACTGAAGCGAGCCCATTTTAACGCAACTCCCTGTGCAGTTCTTCAGAGCATGCGATTAAATACAGAAAGTCAGCAGTTGAGTAGTGCACTGAAGAGCCATTTAATTAAGGCCTTTAAAGTATTTACCATCTGTAAACAAAATCTGTGTTCTAAAACAAAACTGTCCCCACAGCAATGCCTGTGTTTGTGTGGGATAAGCTCCAAGCTCAGTGAAACTGGGGAAACGGAGGGCTGTTTGATGGCTGGGACCAAGCCCCTTTTGTTTCCTTTGGCAATGATAAAGTGACGCACAAAGCACGGGGACTGTACAACTTCATTTTATTTTGTGTGCTTTTATAGGATATAAATAAATGACAAAATTACAAAATTTATAACTGGAAGCCCAAGCATATTTACATAAGTTTTGTTGCAGTGAGGCTACTATTTACTGTTCTCCTATACAGTTTTTCCTTTTGGTACCATATTTTTGTGTTAGTTTTTGACTGTCAGTTGACTACGTACATATCAACAGTGAAGAGGCAAAATATGTACAAGGAACTATTTTGTTCAAGTAAATTGAATACTGTATTAAAATTATGTCATCACTCAGCGCTATGATTATGTTTAACTAAATCATATACAATTATCAGGTTTAAACCGAGTTCCATTTCCAATTTTGGAATTCACCAACTGCTGAGTCAAACCGAAAACCTCAGCTGGATATGAAATAATAATTAAAAAAACGTTAAGACAACCACACAATTTATCAATATCTCTATAATGAACTTCAAAATGATTCACAATTTGACTTGATAGAACAATATACGTTAAAATGCCATTTTTTCTCCTATAGTGATATTTGTACTGTTATAATTTCAGTTCTACATAAATATACATCATGGTATTATACAAATACTCCACAGACATTAAAAAAATTAAAACACTTTAAAGAAAATGTAAGTAAATATTATTTAATCAAATATTAAGCAAATGCTTAACTCGTTTTTTTCCATGAAAACAATTTTATTACTTTGGAATTTTTTTCTTTTTCTCGCTATTTTTATTTAGAAAATGTTTCACGGTAGAATTTTATCAACATTCTTCTAAACAAGCTTTCTGTGGCAGAAATCTTGATAGCAAAATCCAGAGTTTTGACTTTTTTTTTTTTTTTTTTTTTTAGAACCACTGAGATTATTTTAAAAAATACGAGTAGAATTCATGGCTATAGCAATGTCAAACTGCATAAAGTGTATGTAAGTGGAGTAGAATGGTGGAATGACCATTCCACTTCCATTTCAGACTGGTGACATGGAACATCCAGTGCACTGATGCTACAACTTCTATAATTTTCATAATGCTGCAATAGCAATGGTTTAATTAACCTTAAAATAAACAACATTTGTCATAATTAATCTGGCTTCCTTTCCATAAATACTCTCATGTTTTCCTATAGTACTTCTCTTCCATAAAAATATCTAATAAATGTTTTCTGTGCGTTATTAATACCTTTCTTCTAACCATTCATAAAACTCTGATCCTTTGTTACAGTTCAAGAGGCTCCTGTTTCTGCAGAGGATCAAAGGACACCAAGGATTACATATAAAACCAGCGCACACAGAAATCAGGGTACCTAATTTCTCGTCACATTAATGAGTTCTTTATTCAACAGAGCAAATATTAATGAATTCAGTGGTTTCACAAATACTCTATTCATTAATTCTGGTTTATATTTCAATTAAAAACTGCCAAGATTTAAATAAAAAACCAATCAAATATCCTACTCGTAGGCAGCATTAGTGTTAGTTTAGAGACCTTCTGTTTTTTAAAAAGTAGAATTCTAAAATAAGAAATCAAAGAAAGCACTGTGGCAGAGTCACAAGGGAGAACTGCGTGAAAAATAAGGTTTCTCACTCCTCTTGTAGACTGTAATTTTAAAAGTCTTCGTATAGTGTCATTCTTCTGTCAGTGCTGCAGGAAGAAGAACATCACCAGAAATGACTATCAGCCTTTTTTGTTAGTTACAAGGCCACGCATACAGTGCAGTCTTCCTCTCTGCTGGGTTGAAACGTTGCCATAAAGGAAAGGCTGTGCTGTGACTGCTTGGAGTGCAAGGCACAACAAGGAATAGGGGGACAGTTTTGTATCAGAAAATGGTAGTTTCATACTTGGTATTAATGCCTCTTTTGGCTTCTTGTCCAGGTTCAACAATCCATGGTAGATTCGCAAGAGTCTTTTGTTCAGATGGATCTATCTGCTTTAAAACAAATGCAAATATACAGACGGGTTACCATCCCTGCACGCAGCATTTCTAGCAGATGATATTTCTTTCACAAAAATAGAACACAGAGCAAACCCTTTATCAACAAAGTCCTCTTCTAATGCCTTAAGCATGTCAGCGCGAGGGTCTGCATTCCCATCTACCTACCGATGGTTGCCCTCTTTTTACTGTTCGGATCAGAGCTGTGTCTATCCCCAAGCCATGGAGCATCAAAGCCTGTTATGCTATGTTTAAAGCAAGACTTGATGCTGCGCAGTCCTTTTAATACTGAGACAGATGATGGCATCAGAAAATGCTCTTTCTTACAAGTCTATGGATGAAGAATCTGTGGCGATGTACTCAAAACTGTATGGTTGAAAGCACGCTTTCATGTGTATTTTTCCTTCCCACTCATCCTAGAATTAACTATCACAGAGGATGGTTCTCCCTTTATATCCAGGGAATATGATACAGCACACAATCAAATCACACCATGTCTGTATTCTCGCTTGATTTAAAATAAGTTGCATAATTTTTGGAAAGTTATACCATAAAAGAGTGCTTCTCTGTCAGCTATGCCCTGTAAGATGGAATAGAAGTAATAGAAGTAATAAGGAGGCTCCGATTACCTACGGTTCTTAGGAATGTGGGATTCCAAAGATGTTAAGAAGGTGTATTGAAACACAGTTCTGAAACAGGTTCTGAAGTCTAGCTCTGCTGAGCATCATGCATGCATAAATAAATAAGGTAAGAAAAGAAGTTGCTTGTTGTGACAAGAATATCACTGTAAATTGATTCCGATTTGTAATTTGATTAAGTGTAATCATCTGGCAATCGTACCTAAATCAAACAAAATTTGTGCACTATTGGTATGCACATGCAGTGCCATTAGTTTGATGCCAGATTAATCTCTTGACACAAGCTCAGGAAACTCTATGGAACCGAACAGCTTTGGATGTATGCTCTGGCTGTGATCCTCAGCACTAGTCAAGTGACTTCTTAAATTAAGGAAACACAAAGTGAATGGTAGTTCCAAATGGCTGACTGCGATACAGTGACACAACCTAGCAGGGTTGTGTTGGGTAGAGGTGACACAGCTTCAAAATGCGTATCAACTCTTACTGTACAGCTGAATGTTGTTGTTGCATGCACCACTCCATTCTACTTACCACTGACTTCCGAATACTAACACGTGGTTTTGGAATAGGTTTGGAGGGTTTATTTTCAAAGCTCTCAGGGAGGGTTGAAGAATGGCCCCCTTTTCGTGCTTGTAGTGCAAGCTGATAGGCCACCTCAAATGCTTGTCCTAGTGTGAGAATGATTTCGTAAGCTAAATTCTGGAACAAAACAAAAACATTTAAAATTGGGATTAGGCAGAGTTGCTGTTAGATAAAAGAAGTGTTAGTACTGTCTGTAGAATGGATTTGTAATGAAAGTAATTAAAAACACACTGGTAATAACTTCCTAAATCTCTGCAATAATTACGTCAGTCAATTGATTTCTAATTAATTAAGGACAATCTAAATGTAACCTACTGTAGTGAAAACAACTGCTTTTCAAATCTTTGAAAACATTGTCTCACTAGACATGAGAAAAGGGTTGTGTGGGTGGGTGTCACCTCTTAGAACAAGTGTATTCATTCTTGACCCCTTCCCCGCTCTTCTTGCTTCCAAGATCCTAGCCAATGGGCACTACTGCACGTATCTGACATTCCACCTCGCTTCATTTCAGACCTCCTCTGCTGGCCTCTCCTCTGCCTCCAGGGCAGGCAGCCCGACTTACACTGTGCAGTGCCATCACCAGGGAGCATGGGAAAAGGAGAGTGCTCCAGATCTGCTGCGACACTCCCCAAAGGACAAGATGCACGTGTTGAAGGTGCAGATGCAGATGCAGTGCACCCACGCATGCGTTAAGGTAAGTGCTATGCTTGCAATGTGTGTTTCAAAGGCAGAGGGAACCCTACAGTTTTGTTTTCTAGAAGTAAAACTGTTTGAGCTTAACTTGGAATGTCAGCATACGCCTGGGGAGTTAGCATGTATTACCAAAGAGGTCAGGTTCTGAAGAACAAGATCAGTTATACCTAGAAAACTTTAAATTCTTAGAGAATATGTGGAAGAAAACCTGCTGAAAGGTTTAATAAAGCATGAATGAGGAAGTGGGGGATCTGTACAAATGCTTTTTTCCAGTAAAGTTTTACATCAGCTAAAAGCAGCTGCGAGTTTCAAATTTGACCATAATCCAAATTGCAAGTGAAAGCCTATGGCAATTTTTTCAGGCTTGTGGGTTTGCTTTGGTGTATTTAATTCTAGGCTCCTACAAGCTTCCCAATAACATTTCGGACCCCTGCAGAGCAAACACCAGCCTGCAGGCTTTCCTTCTCATGTCCTGCAGACTCCTTACCATAAGTCATGCATCTTAGATGTAATTCAGGAGTTACTCTCTCCTTCCTGATCCTCTGTAGCTGGATGCAATTCTGCATTACTTTGAAACTAGGTGAGCCCTTAAAACTCCCACAGGCTTTTAATATTATTTCAAATGTATTAATTTTAATTGAGGTGCATGTTTAGCTAGTTGAGGCTAACTGTTGAGTTTGTAATAAGGCAGAAAGCAGTGCAAAACACACAGACACACACTATCTGCCCTGCAGAGGTTAAATACAGCTAAAGGGCTAAGCATTTTATTTCATGCCTTATACCACAGTTTCACTGCAGTCATTAAGAAGTTTCATCCCTTTATTATCACAGCTTTATACTAAGAACATGTAGGCTAAGTTCAGCCTATTTAGCTCATTATAAGAGCTTCTTATAAAGGTGCCAACCCTGGTCTTTGTTGGGTCAAAGGGAAAACAATTATAATCCTCCACTGGGGTATCCTCTCAGCTGTGATGACTGCATTAACAACAACAAGCATGCCAAAGTTTCAGAGCTTCCCAAATAAGAATCTCTGTGAGATCTGGTGGCAGCAGTCTCCAAATTGTCTCACTTTTAATTTAAGGGAACCAACCTGGACTGAGAAAGATTGAGAATACAGTTTGCCAGTGAAGTCAGAAATGAAAGGCTAAAAAGACCATTATAAAGCACTCTGCCTTTTAGCAGAACACTAGTTATGGAATTAAGACCAGCTGAGTATAATTGTTAAAAATGCACAGAATAATATTATTTGAAATGGACTGCACATATTAGCAGGACAAGGATATTATTCTAAAGAGATCTTAATCTGCTGTCAAGACAGTAAGATAGTGTACTGTATCATCATGGGATTATCTACACTGGATACTATTACTGATAAGGGAATACATTGACAGTATATAAGGAGGGCTTGGAGAACAAGTGGACAGTAATACTATAGGAGTGAGACAGTGTACAACCCAGGGAAGTATGTGAAAAGGTCTTGGGAGACAGCATGTAAAGTCCTGAGAATAGAGTGCAGAAAAGCAGAGTTTGCCATGCATAGGCTATCTAGTTTGGGTCCTGGATCTTGTGAGAAATCATTATGATTTGTTTTCTTGAGCAGAGCGTAAAGTTAAAAAATAGCCCTTCCTGGAGCATGTGAAAATGTAACTGTTTCAATGGTTAATATATATATGAAATACTTAAAATAGAACATTTACTGCTTTGTTCAGTGTTCTAAACATAAACTGAACCATTGTGCATAAATGTCATACATTGTGTACTGCAATAGAACCTTGAAGAAGTGATGCGTACACTTCACTTGGAGGCCTTGGAGGGCTTTAAATTTGTCCCTTTTAAAATTGGAAAAAAAGAAAAAGAAAAAAAGAAGCAAAACCAACGCAACATCTGCTGAATCATACGTAGAAAAAAAACCACCAAGGCTAAATAAATTTGGTTTGAGGAATTTCTCATCTGTAGTACAGGGAGAGGAATATGAAAGTCAGAGTTTTTACATATTCTTGGACGGGCTGTTGCTGGAGAGAAAAGAGCAGGAATTCTCTGGAGATGCAGGAGGAAGATAAAAACCACAAACACCACAGTGGGAAGCCTTCCGATGGAATGAGACTTCTTTTTTTACACGTGACATAAAATGAAGCAAACAGGTCTGTCTCTTCAAGAGATGTTTAGAACAAAGTTGTAGACCCCGTGGTGATTATGAGAGACATTGACCCTTACAGCACTCCAACAAGCTCCTTGGAAAGGAGGTAAAGTTTTTAGGACTGAGTTCTGCTACAATCATGTTCCATGTACGTCTTGACAGAGAAGGAAGGTGAGTAAGCTAATGCCTTTAAGCATTTTTTGTGATATGAAAAACTGAGGTCAATTGCCCTGTCTGCAACATAATGTGTTAATTCAGCTCCTCAGTTCAAGTCTGAGTTGGTATTCTTCAAGTGCTTTAGTTCAGCCACCCAATTACAATGGCTAATTGCTTTGTTACTGTTGGACTTATTTTCTTTACTGCACAAGCTGCAGCAGACATTGTTTCTTCACTGTTTTCATGCTTCTATAAAGCTATATGGAGGCTTCAGGACTATTTTGAGAATGAGAGCAAGATCGTTAATTTCTGTCTTTTGATCTACAAAAGCTTAAAATGTCACTTGCAAAGGATTATTATAACTTTTTTTTTTTTTTTTTTTTTTTTTTTCAGAGAAGCTAACGTTTTGCTTTTTGAGAAAAGCATTTTGGGTATAAAGAAGATTTGATGGGTTTCTGCTTTCAGGTAATTATCTTTTTTTCCTTTTAAGATCACAGTTAAATCTGATCTTTAGACTGAATTTACTGAAGTGTCCTTTGGCATCTCACAGATAATTGGTGAGAGCTACCCACCACATTTTCTGTGTAGAAAGTCAATTAGGACACATCTGCAAGGTGCTGAACTTAAAATCTCAGCTGGCAAAATCAAACAGAACACAGTATACAGAATCTTAAATTGAAAAATCTGAAAAATTCCAACCCTGTTCAAAATTTCCATCCCCTGAGATGAAATCATTTGCCCAATCCTTAGTCATCACAGTCTTCAAGGCCAGATGTTAAGGATTCCTACTATAGAAATCTGACGAGGTTACTTATTAATAACTGGGGTTCTTTGAGGTCAAGAACTGTCATACACATGCATTTACACTGCTGATTGTTCATATGCTTTACCTTCTAAACCAGAACACATTTACGTTTTGGGACAGCTAGAAAGGACTGCACTTGTCTGCACCCTAACACATCAGTCATTGTTCAATCAAGGGGAAGGAGGCTCAACTTGCCGAGGGTGGTATGAAGAGAAGAACATGGCTGGCATTTGCTTGTAACAGCTGTGGTCTACCTGCAGCTTTTATGAACAGACACTCCTGCAACTCAAATTCGTGAATCTTTCTCACCCTGGATTTGAAGTGATGGTCAGCAGCAGACTCTTCCGAATTCATCCTCCTTTTCTAATGTGGCACAGAGAGATATTTTATATGCAACACAGCCATGGAAACAGGCCTCCCAAATGTGACTTTGAGGCTGTTGCAAAAAGCCATCCATGTAGACTAGCCCAACAGGAGAGACTCATTTGCTCATGAGCTGATAGCTCCTGGTGCCTGAGTGCTCCATCTCAAGAAAGTTGTGAGGATAAATTAAAACGGCTTCCCACATTCTGCCTAATATGCCCTGAAAGAGTACAGTCAGGGCATGCTGTCTTTGAGTACTGCAAAGAAAAAAGTTTTCAGTTCTTGAGGCATGCAGATGCCATACTGATTGTATCTGGATCATCATGAGAACAGAGAACAACTTCAATAAAAAATTTCAGTTCCCAAATCCACTGGAAGAAGGCAATAAACAGAACTTTGAGGCCTGAAACCATGTGTTTTTCATTGCTGCTGAATATGTACTAGCAGTTTCCAATGCTTATCCAGATTAAGTCTGCACAATGAAGGACAGAAGACTACAGAGAAGGGAAGTTTTGGGTTGCACAGAACCCCTGTCTATCCTAGGCATGAACTAGAGCAGCTAGTTGTGCCAGTTTATGCTGGTTGCCTTCTTTTCATCAGTATGCAGGACGCTGAAGGAATGTCTGACTGAAATTAATACATGAAAGGACTTTGGTGTAGGAACTATTATCATGGTTTATTTTTTCAAAGGGAATACTTCATTGGTGGTTTTGAGTCTGCTTTATGTAAGTGGATGTGTGAAGTGAGTTTCAAGTACTGATCAATAAATCTTCTACTCCCAAAACTTGTCCTCTTCTAAATATCTTAAGCAATGGATGTCACTCCCAATTTTAATTACAACATCATAACTCTAAGCAGAGGAGTCACTTCTAAATGCTAAGCATCAGTGATACTTGTATTGACATGCTGTTACACTGAAACACTTTCCTATTTGCAAAAAAAAAAAAAAAGTTTTTTCCAGTTCCCTGAACAAAGGGACCTAATTTTCATCTCAGTGCATATACTATACATATGTATATATATGTATGTGTATATACAATATACATACATTATTGCCTGCTGTAAGGGGCCTGCTTTGAAGAGGGGTTGGACTCAATGATCTCTGGAGATCCCTTCCAACCCCCACAATTCTGTGATTCTGTGATTATATTACCATATTATATAGGATTTAAGATGCTTCTTTTTTACACTTTAATGTGGATTTTACCATTTTGAACTTTATTTTTCTTATTTTGATTGGACTTCTGTCCCTTGAAAAATGAAGAGGACTGCTTCTATTAGCAGACTGGAAGACCAGGCTCCTCTGTAAGTGCTAGACTTAAATTGAATCTACTTTATGCTTATGTTGCAAATATCTAGAATATTTTTTTTTTCATCGAGCTTGTTCTTCCATCAGTAACATCAGATTCTGAGAAATGAAACAGCACAAAAAAAAAAAAAAAAAAAAAAAAAAAAAAGGGGGGAATATTTGAGTAGGTAATACCCCACTGAGGATTACATAGCATATGAAAAATAATACAGACAGTAAAGTTTCTTAAATTAGCCATTTATAGTGGTTGGGGTATTAAACACTCCTCCTGAAGTATGGGAAGTGAGCAAAATGTTAGAATTATTGCTGGATCACTATGCTTTCCTAGCTGAGTAGGGAGAAAACGAATTTTATCTGACAAACCTGGCTCTGTGTTTGTGCTTGAACATTAGGTCTATAAATGAAAATGCATTAGTTTGAAACTGTTAAGAAGTGTTTAAATGGATTGGTAGAAATAAAAATGTCACTCAGTTTACTCTCAGTTGATACACTTATCACTAATATAATGTAGCATTTTGTTGACAACAGTTTGCCTATTTTTAATACCATTTAAAATCTTTTTCTATTCCACACGGGCACTAAAATGTCAGTAGAGAAGTTAAACAACAAAAGTACTGAACATAAAGGTTAATATTCCTTTTAACCTACTTTCCTTCAAGCTATTATTTAGTTTCTCTGCAATGCTGACTACTTTCCCAGTCACAAATAAAATGCCTCTGTTCAGACATCTCTCTGTCTTTTCAAATTTAATTTATTTATATTTATGTAAGCACGTTTTGAGAATTCACAGACATTATTAAAATCTTCTTTTTCTTGAATAATTTTTAATTTCTGTAACAACTGTATGGAATTTTAGATTTCTCTTGTGCTTAGCTGAAATGGCATTAGGTGAGTATTCCACAGACATTTTGGATGTTAAGCCTTCTTGGTCCTAAAACTTAGAGCTACTATTTATTTCACCAAATTTAGCTGGAAACAGTGAGACTGATTAATTGATACATGTTCATAATTTTTTGAGACACCAGTAGGCTTTGCATCATTATTTGAGAAGCATAAATGCAGGAAGAACTCAGTTAATCAAATTAGAAGAGCTTTAAGAACTTCTGTTGAAATGAGTCTTGAGACTCCAAAGTCAATGCAGTCTGTTTGCAACAAAAAGGAAAAGGTGCTGATAATATATTTTTTCCCTTATCTTCATCATTTGTTAAGCTAAAATTCCCACTGCAATGACAGAGAAACGAAGACAACAGAGGGGCCATCTAGACTATTGCTATAGTCTGACGATGGTTACAGGGGTGCCCTTTTCCACACAAACATAGAAAGGACAGTGCTCTGCACAGATTTGTTATCACAGATGTTTCAAATCTATGAGTATGGCAGCCAAATATTGCAAGGACCTCTTGAGATACGTAGTTAGCTGTCTGTGTGGTCTCTTCTTCTTCAGAGCTACCAATGTTTCAGTTCTCTGTTTAGAGTAAGAACAAAACTTTTCATATGTTCTCTATATATTTGCAGAGAATTTTCAGTTCTCCAGTTTATTCAGTAAAACATCCATAGGTTTAAGAAATACTTAGAAAAAAAATGTTTGAGTTATCAGGACTGATCCAGCTAAACAGTGAAACACAAAAGCCCATGGAGCAGCAAAGAAACCCAAAGAAACTGCCTGCTGATCTGTCCAAAAAACAATCCATATCAATTTCATGAATGTGGGATGAGCCCAAAGGCCTCCACAGGAAGACTCCAACACTCTCACTTCTTGTTGGTTGGTCTGGGACAGACTCATGAGCGTAGCAGCCAAACAGCTGGACATCACCAAACTAGTCTTTCCTCAACTTTGCAGGCACCAGAACACAGTCCAGAAGACAAACTTAATTTGAGGTAGCTCTTGAGCCTATCTCTCAGCAGGACTGAACACTGTACACAATGCACATTGGTCCAGTTCTGATTTATCTGCTATGTGTTACGATTTCAGAGTGGGTGGCCAGAATTGCTTTTTATGAACTTCTTGGAAGACTACAGCTTAGATTAGATGTCACTTGTCAAGACTCGCGTTTCAAAAATTCATACACATGATACTACATTAAAATATTTTTTTCTTGAATAATTTTTAAGTTCCTCTTGTGCTACTGACTCAAGTTTCAGTTTAGCAGCTGTGATGACACAAGTGAATTGTTTCAGATGGGAAATGAGATAATATCAAGCAAAATATTTGTTTTTCTCCAAAACTGCTCCTTCACTATCTTGTATTCGATCAGTAGATTCATTCGGTAAATGAACAATACCTTCCATTAATCACCATATGCCTTCTTTAAAAATAGAATAAAAGAACTGTAACTGTTATAAAGCACTACTAAATAAATATCTCTATTAACTGACCACATCAAATGCAGTAAATACATGGCAGTAGTGGTGATTGGTCTTCAAGTCTTTAGTGATGTACGCAAATGTAGAAAGGTCTTCAGGGTCTTGTGCAGCACAGGAGATGTTACGGATTTCATGTTCAGCAATAATATTCTGTTGAAAAAAAAAATTTCAATCAATTTAGGAATTCCATGTTAAAGAGCTGCAAAAGGCATGTTTTTCGATACATATTTATGTTCATCTCCTGTGTTCAGATATTTCAGTTTCTTAATAAAAGGGATTTAATATATCACATGTGAGTTTCTTACACAATTCTTTGCAATTTTGACCCTCTCCTGCAATATCTAAAATTGCCAGTAAGACAGTAGGAGACAATTGCACTCTGGAGTATTCCCTATGATTCTATTTGGGTTTTGTACAGTTTATGCAGTATCCTGTATACATCTTTCCTGGCATACAGCTGTAAATACAATTTCAAAGCACTACACAGGCATCCTCTGATGCTGCTGTTTTCTGCTGAAAGGTCACTATATCCCACTGCTTCAGGCTGCTGATGGACTGGAGCTGGTGAAACCCAACAGGCCCAATATCCAGTCTTTTGCACAGGGTGTTTGACAAAATTCAGCTATACTCTTTCAAAAAAAATCAACAAAACATCCATCATCATTTATAATTAACTAAAATCCTGAGCTCTTGAAAGGGTTCTTCTTAGTAAAAAAGTAGCTACAAATGGCAACATTTCTCCACTTGGTGACAACAGCATCCTGTAAGAGATATAGAAATATTTAACTGTTCATGCACTGAGCAACACTACTTGCAACAGCCAATGTAAAAGCTATAGCATACTACTGAGATAGACGTGGGGTACATTTCTCTGATGGAATAAATAACCAAAAAAAAAGCTGTCTAAAGCTTTGAACAAAATTATGAATTGTCATTACATAAGTTACTGATAGGTAACTACTGTGCTCAGGCCAAAAAAACCATGAAACTAGAGAAGATACTATACAATGGCTTATGATTAGGCCTTGCATCAGCAATGCACACATTTCAAATGATTTATTTAACATGATGAATGACATGATGAATTCAACAACATGGATGACTCATTGAACAGAAATCTCCTCACAGGTAAGTTTGTACGATCTTCTGAATTGTGTCCCTCCTGACTGTAGCAATGGCTTTTCCATAAAAAAATAAAAACAACAAAGAAAAAGAAGAAGCCTGCTGCAGTATGACATCTCCACTGCACTAAGAACACATGACATCTGTAGTGCCACAGTTCCTCACAGCTCTACGCTTTGCTGTTGCCTTAGTGGCATCTGTTCAAGTTAAAACAACCTCTGAGCATCTCTGTTTTTCCCTCATCCCTGTCTTTTCCTTCCCACCTCCTCTCCTCCTCCTCTTTTTTTTTTTTTTTTTTTTTTTGAAGAATAGGAAACATATGCAACTAAGTCACTTAGGATTCTTTGCCGTATCCTCTTTCATTTGCAAAGTGTCAGCTTTCCCCCTTGTATGTAGGTGTCGAGTTTTCTAAAAGACATATTAATATATGCAATTAAAGAAATAACAGCTTGGGGAAAAAAAATCTTAATAAAAAGTATCCCAAATTCCAAATTACAGAAGAAAACATGATAAGAAGACTGTTACTGAAGACATGATATAATCCTCTTAATCTTATACTGTTGCAACATACTTGATTATTTCAGTTTAATGCATTATTCATAAAAGTTACAGAAACAGTACTTATGTTTCAATATATGCCAATTTATAATGACACGTATAATCTCTGCTTAATGACTATTGGCTTTTTATGTTACTTTAAGCACTTTATTTCCTTTGTTCTCAAATTTGTAAGTTTTACCCTCAGGAAAGATTTTAGGGAGAATGACAATTCTAACAAAACCAGGCATTTAGATATCCACAGATAGAGCTGTAATAAACCCTCATTGATGTTGTAGCATCAACACTGTAGTTTAAAAAGCAGAAAGAATTAAATCTTGGAAGGTTTTATGCCAATTTTTATGCCAAATCATGAGCCACTAAGTAACTACCTGAAGTTATATGCTGTGTGAAAAGAGATCTGCTATGCTGCAACTTTTCCTAGGTCGCTTGAGATTGGCACAGGGCTTTGTGTTTTAGTGTTTTATTTTAAACCAGGTGAAGTTTGGAAACATACTCATTTTAACTTTGTTTTGAATAAAAAAAGGTGTGTCTCAAATAAATCTCACAGACAGAAATTAGCAGTGAAATAGGTTTTCCTCTAACTTCTACCGAATTATCCTCTCTGACTTCCTTTCAAAATTAGACGTTTTCAGTGCATGCATTTGCTGTTTCCTAGAGTCAGAACTACAGCAGACCAATAGTTTTAGTCACTAGAAATTATAAAGTTATGAATCAGTTTGCTGTGCTTGGTGTGCTCTTCTCTTTACTGAGAATGTAAAACTGTTGTTCTAAAAATTATCTCTGTTTGTCAAAAGCAATCTCCAGAGCTTCAGAAAAAGCAGGGAAGGTGAAAGTCAGTTCTGCTTCTGCCAAGGCAACACCACTGAGATACCAAGCTTTGATTAGCAGCCTTCTCTTTACTTGCCTACTTTGTGTTAGACAATTCTTCTCCACACAGAAATTATCCAGCAGTTAGGGTTAGCTGTGATCCATGAGAAATTTCTCAAAGCCTGCTTTGTCTTTGCAGCAATTTCTTCCTGGCCTCACTTGCAAAGAAATGGTGCCATGTCAAAGTGGTGTCATGCCAAACTTCAAGGTGCCACTGAAATAGCTTTAGTGGAATGAGGTCAGAGCCTCTTTGTTACCTGAAGCTTTGCCTGCTTTAACTCAGGATACAGATTTTTAGCTTGGTGGCATAAAGTAAAAGGATGAGCAATGAAAGCTGAGTTTTCAAGCACATAAATGCCGGCTATTTTTGTCATTTAAAAGTATGCATTTATTGCAAAGTGGTGCCCAGCTCTGCCAACCATAATCTTGCACAGAAGCAGTACAAGTCAGAATAGGGTCTCACCTTGGTGCTAATCTGTTTTGGGTCTCGAAGGAATTGAGTACAGCACACTGTGGACAAGGCTGATAACAATGCTCCTGGGAGGGCTGCAGGCTATTACCTGGTTTTTACAGAAGGGAAAGGCAGTGCAGATTTTGAATGGAAGAGAAAGCATTCTACCACTTTGAGAAAACACACAGGACTGTGGTGTTATTTATCTCAATCAACTACAACTGTAACACTACTAGGCATAAGATCTAGTGGGATTGGTCTAGAGCCACCTAATACTATTTGCCCAAATTCTTTCAAGTTTCCTTCTCACATAAGAATAGATGCACTGTGCAAAGAGGTACTGTAGGCTGCTTTTGTTCTCCTGATCTAGTTTTTTTTAAACCTAAAGACACTGAAGTTACACCCCTTACACTATAGAGGAGATTTCAGAGCTGAAAACAGCTTTATCCAAGTTGGAACTAATAGCATTACAATGTTCTGATTTATGTCCAGCACATCAGAGAACATAAAAGAAATGAAGGCTACAGAAGTTCCATTTTGACTTAATGGAAGAAAAAAGAGCTGACAGGAATCCCTGGCCTCTCTACTCTGGCAAATACTTTAGACTTGATATAATATATATTTCAGCTTTGTTTTTATTTCGTGCCATCTTCTAGCCCTGGCAGTGCTACTGTATTAGAAGATCACAAATCTGCTTTCATTCCTTCACTTAAAACCTTCCACTTTAAAAACTGCCTGTTTTGTCAAGTTTGAAGGATACTGGGTTAGATGTATGGTGTGGTCTGAATGCACAGCAACACCAAGCAGTTACACACACTATTAACTTGATGGGATAGTCGAGTTGTCTGAGTTTCCATATTGCTTGGTGCATTTTGGTCACATAACACACACAAAAAAATTTTATATTCACACACAACATCAGTGTGGTTTGCACTTTCTTGATGTCTTAAGACGAGAGAAGAGAAATCCATGCATCACTTTACTCCTCTTTACAAGAATTTTACTTTGGCTAAGCAATAACTCATTGTTCTATCCACCACCAAGTTCTCCAATCTTTCAACTTCTGTCTTATAAATAAATTAAATAATAAAAAAAAAAGCTGGATCTATTTTGAAATGTAAGACACAAAGCACAGAGGCCTTGCCACACCACATAGGAAGATGAACACAACATGGAATAACAACTGTTATGAAGCTGCAGCAGTTCAGGGAGTCAGATGGGAAGTACCAGGAAAATAGCTGTTGGAGAGGCACTGACATTTGGAAAGCATACTTAAGGCTCATGTTTCTTATAATGTCTGGCTCTGGATAAAACCTTTGGTTATTGATACATCTTCATATTTTTATTTTTTACCAAAAACTATATTGAAGAAAAAATATAAGTATTTTCTGCATGTTTAAGGAACTGCACGGGGAAGAATATGGTAAAGGATTTTGCGGAGGCCCTTAGCCAAATTTCTGTTGTCATGAGTTTGCCTTTTAATATCAGAAGGCTGGACACAATGTTCTCCAACTGAGCCATTAAAGGTGCTTCACTCAACCTCCAGACAGAGCTTCTGGAGAGTGACAGTAAGATTACATCAACTGCAGAGAGAAGAGAAAAAAGAAAGGAAGCATACAGTGCAAATCTGTCCCCTCTATGGCCCGGTGCTCTAACTGAGCCAACCTCATAAGTATTCCTATCTGAGAGGAAGACAAAGCTGATATTCAGTGATTGCACATACCTTATTTGTTGCATCAATAAATTTGACTCCTTTGTATGAGACAGACAGGACAATGGTTGGCACTTTCTTCATTTGTTCCGTAGACTTCTGGAACAAAAATGAAGATGCTGTTGGAGTTGTAATGCACTGAAAAAAACAGCATTTTTTCTCTTCTTCTTCCAACAAAATGCTTCAGTTAAACAACAGGTATTTATTCAAATATTTGTCTTTTTCTTGAGCTGACTGATCTTTGGGCTTTTGAAATAGCTGCCTTGTAGTTAAAAAACTAAAAAGAACCCTGTAGCTTCTAGCATAGATGATAAAACCTCTCCTTTTTTCCAGCATGATGCGAAGAGAATGAAGTTTACCATACATAAAGTGAATGGTCACGTAATCAGGGATTTCCTAAAATAAACACGTTTAAAACATCCATCTGATGTGCTCCATTCACCCCCGCCTCTCTTCTCCTCCTCCTGTCCTTCCCAGCTGGAAAAACTAACTGTGCATTTTGTGGAACTACTTCTTTGCTGCAATTAGTTGTTACTTACGAATATTTCACTCTCTCTCTCTCTCTCTCACTTTCTTGCAACTATATTTGTGACATGAGATATGCCTACAGCCCTCCAGGCCTGCCAGTCAACCTGTCAGCCTGATGTTGAATCTTGTAAAGCCAAACCATCTGCACTTCCTACAACGTGGTTGTTACTGCAGTTGGCTTTACACATGAATTAACACAGAGGCTTATTCTGCATTCCCTCAATGGCCAGGTTCTCTTACCTACAGTTCATGTCTTTGTATAAAGCTATTTTTCTTGCACGCGTGCCTTCAGCATGAGGCACACAGCTAAGATATTTCCTGGCAAACAGATTGGGCATGTATTTGGAATACATTTAAATTATCTGCAGAAGACCTGTTGATTAGTTTATGGATTAAGTTTTCTGAAGAAAGAAAAGGGAAAACAAACATCACGTAGTTTAGAGATGGTCTGAATTCTTTAAAGGTAGAAACAATTATAGGGAGGACTATTCTATACAAAACTACTATGGATAAAAAATGTAGACAAAGTTCAGCAAATGCTCACTCATGGTAATATCTACAAATGATCATAGAAAGCAAGCAGACATTTTCTTGAGAGGAAAACCTAAGTTCAGATAATTAAATATGAAGAAATATGAAGAAATATCAGCATGCAATGAGGGTGCAACCACGTCTAGAATTGCCATCCTAAAAGTTTACAAGAGAAGCTGAAAATGAGTAGCAGCAGCGGTTTCGTATTTTTCAAGAGAAATTTAATAACAAAGATTTAAACTTGAAAACACAGACTGTATCTGAAAAAAAAAATCTGTCTAAAAATAGGTGATGGCAGCACCAAACAGAAAACAAATGAAGCTTAAAAGAAAAAAAAAAAAAAACAAAACTGCAAGTAAGTTTCTTTTCTGATCTCATTCCTGCCCAAATCAAATGCGACTCCATTTTTGCCAACATAACATTCAAAGATACACAGCCAACCAAGTTCTACAATTAGTATCGCACGCAGTGAAGGCAAGAATTTCTAATATAAGTCTCAAAAAGAGCCTTTCCCATCCATGTAATGGGGAGGACTATCATACCGTTCAGTATCAGACAACAAGATACTCATCTGTCAATTTATCCTGGAGAAGCCTTCTTTCACCCAGAAGACTGGATGCTTCTTGAAAATGCATTTGTTTTTTTCGATGATAAAACATGCTGAAAAATCTAACAAAATCTGAAGAAGGACACTAATCTGAATCACATTTTTCTGAGTGCAAAACAAAACTGTCTCTGCTAAAATCAGAGCAAGCACATACCTGCGTGTCTCTATAATAGATCTCAAGTGACTCTTTTCATAACATACAATTTCAATGCACACAAAGCCTGGCACTGACTGTACAGAAACTGCAGTACATACACCCATCAGAATAACAAGCAATATACCCCATATATGCTTATATCTAGGCAAAACATTCACAAATATGACAACTTCGCTCTCATCATCTGGCAACCCAGCAATCAACCAACTTTTGTCCTTTCTTTCTATCCCGACAGCTACATTCAAGAGCTCTTTGTCTTTCATTTTGATTATTGTAATCACCTCCCTCCTTGCTGCCTTAGCAGCAAGATTCCTCCCCTCCTCCCATACAAATATGGCTACTAAGTTCACTTTAGCTTTTTGGTCTAACTTGCACTATCTGCCATTTGCCATAAAGGTTAAGTTTCCTGTTGGCAATGTTGCAACAGCCATCTGAGAGTCCTCTTTCATGCAGACCTGTGGTTTGTACTTTAATCATCTTCCTTATGTGCCTCACATTCAGTGGGATCTGTCTAGAGCAGACCTGATCTTTTAGATTTAAGGAAGTCTGTGAACATCAGAAGATGGCATCTGAGTGAAATAGCTCATTAAGATACCACTAATGTGCATATGCCAAATTAGGAAATGAATCAGAGACCAATGGACATTTGCAATTCATTAAACCAAATCGTCTCAGCTGGTAAGGAGCAGTGGACATCCTTTATCAATCTGCAAACCAAAATAACTGCAGGATTCATTCATGCAGAGGTGCTCTGGAAGACAAAAGTCCAGCACAGAAACATGATTTTGCAAAACAACTCTACACATGCACATGCTTGTCGCAACAGAGTTGGGCAGTGGGATAATATCCTTGGTAAGGGATAGTACTATCACAAAAAGCACACACTCTATTCCCCCTACTCCTCTCCCAGTGACAGATGAACTGAAGTCCACCATAAAAATACTATTTCTGAGTAGCTTCCAGTCTTCAATAGTTTCATGGCAAGTTGCCATGGTGAGCTCATATTATTTGTTTGTTGTTCATTTCTTCTTCAGTGGAGGGGGTGGCCACCAGGACGTGCAATGTGAGTTTTCAGAGAAACAATACAAACAGTACTTGCTCAGGCACTGTAACTGCTTTGGCTCTAGATTCTAGGGTGTTGACAGTCATCCCAGAGCTTTTATGGTCAGACATTTTGCACCTCTGTGCAGGCCAAGTGGGCATCTCTGCTGGTGCCTGTGACTAGAATCTGAGAAGGTGGGACACAGGCTGCAGTACTTCCTTTTCTCATGCTTTTCAGGCTCTAACCACCACTGTTGAGGACATGATGAGATGACAAAATATTTTTGTCCATCTGGTGCCTCTATGGGAAGCATATGGACCTGGGCCAAAGGTATAGGACCTACAGTTGAAGACTGGCACAGGATGTCAAGTATACTGGCATATGGTCTAACACTCCAAGGCATATTCATATAATGGTAGCAGGACTGGATTTTATCTCAAGTAGAAATAATTATAGTGACAGGACCCTGTCTTTGGGCAAGGTGCTCACTAGCCTGTAACTGGTCAGAGTTATAATGAACTCCATGGTTTGTGGCTGTAACTTCGGCTCTTTATTTTAATAAACAACTTTAGGATAATCAGCTGGATGAAAAGTGAGCATATTCTAGGCTCGCTGCCATTGCCTGTCTCTGCCATTGCCAGATGATCTGCTGGTCATAAGGACAGATGTGCATGTCCTGTCTCCTCAAGCACACCGCAGTGAGGAGTCTTAATGCAGCAAGTCTGCATGCCACAGAGTGAGATTTGGTTCCACTTCTGAAATACCTCCTATGGGACAGGTAGATGCTGACATAGAAGTACTCCATACAAAGCACAAGAACCATAAAGCAGGCCTGACTGTAGACACGGGAGGATGGAGAAAAACACTGCCATCCTAAATCTAATGTGACATTTGTTCAGTTTCCTTGACTCCCCGAAAGACACAGTCTCTTTTTCTTCAGAATAAGGGCAGTCAGTCACTAATAGAAATCTCTCCTTTATCTTGATGCATGGCAGCTGTGTGCAGCTTCCTTGGCTAATAGACTTTTGTAAGGAATAAGAATACCCCTTTACTTCCCAGGAAAAAGAAGAGAGAGGAGTCCCAGTATAGGAATAAATAAGGTATCTACGGACAAAAACATGCTATGTTGCTGGAAGTTGGTGGGAGCACCAGCCACACCGCTGGCACGCCTGACTTTCTAAATGAGCTGCTGCTTTTCTCTAGCTGATTTCTACAAAAAAAATTGCTTCCTGCAAATGTGCTTATGGCCAGTCCATGAGAAATAGCCAGTGGAGCCAGCAGTGGGTTCACACAATTCAGTAAGTGCCCTCCTCCACCCAGCATTCCAAATGGAGACCTCCTTCAAGATGAAGGCATCTTCTGCATAACTGCCTGGTTAACACAGTGGTTGTTTACACAGTAAGGGCTGGGATTTAAGATCCTGTGAGTCAGTATCTGAACCCATTGCTGCCATTACGCAGCATGGTGCCAAACCTCTGCCTAGCCTTAGACAGTTCCTTCTTTAAGAAGGAACTTCCTAGACTGCATCCAGTTCCTTCTTTAAGAACGCACAAAAAGGGATACAGGAGCAGGGGGACAGAGGAAGAGATAGCAAGCTCAGCTCTGAAGATGTTTTATGAAAAAGAAAAGAGTAGCCTGGGGTTCTTGTTTTTGTTTCCAAACCTGCTTATGAATTTTCCTTAGTTTTATTGAAAAAAAAACCCAAAGCCATACTCACAAGTGGACTCCAGATAGATCTCTATAGTACTACAAATTGTCCTGAGTGAAGCATTTCCTCTCATCTTTTGATTTTGAGCTAAAGGCTGTGCAGAACTGCCAGATGTTTATTTAGAATACAAACTAAAGTCCAGATAATTGAATTTGAAATCCACCCAGCCATTGTACTCATCAAATCAAATTAGCCAACGATGACTTAAGAGAAGAGGGCTTTTTTTTTCTGTGAATAAAGGAATACAAACTAGCTGTTTCCTTTTAAAAAAGAAACATATGCACATATGAAACATATAATGCTAAAGGGCCTTTAATCTTTTCAAGATGAGATTGTACTGCAATACCTTGTTCTACGCAGAACGGAGAGCATTAATCTATCACTTCTGAATAGTCTTGCAGTGTACAAAACACAGCATCTCTGTGCACATACACAGGCACAAAGGAGCCGAAGAAGTAATTAAGATGCACACATAGGATGGAGTCCAAATTAAGGTGCTCGCACATCCACTGGATACACTATAGCACACTGCATAATCCACCTCATCTATTTATTTCCTGACAGAAGGCATCAGGGTTCACTGGTGCTTCTACTTTGTCACCTTGACCACTTGTACTTACACATGCACAGAAGTACATCTACAGTTAGATTACTCAACTTTCGCATGCTGACCAAAATTAAACCGTGTTCATCCATAGCTTTTATTGCATATGTCATTATATTTGATCTTGCCAATACACAGAGGAAAGACAGAATTCTACTGTGCTGAATCACTAACAATAGGTAAATTTTGTTTACAAGTTTATGAGCCTGTAAAGCTTTAAGATTTCTCTTGGCTTTTCGGTTTTGCAAATGAATCTGCTAGTTCTGTCCTATATTGCTTTTTAATAGCTATCTGAAGACTACAGCTGGCACTGTTACTGTTCAACTACGCACTGGAATCCACTTCATTCAGCACTTTCCCATACTGGTAGCACCTACTAATTCCAAATGGCACCAAACTGCACATTTCAAAACATGTATTGGTACCACCTACTATCATACCTGAAAGTCTGTTTCTTATGTAAGGCTTACGAAGCTTTTTAAACATTTGGTTTTGAATGAATCACGTTGACAATACTGTGTATGAGATGAAACAAAAAAGCAAAATTCACTTTTGACTGAGTAGTTTTAAAGCTCATTTTGAAAATGCATTCTGCCTTGTAACAAATATTTACTAACTTCTCACAGTCCAAAAGGCTTAAAAATGCATCACTGACATAATGTAATACCTCTTGAAATATGATAGCATCTGTAATCCCCATGGTACAAGACTGTTTACTTCTCTACAATTAGTGGATGCCTCCAAGCTACATCATTAATGTGAATATTGCACAGGGGATGCACCTGCAACTCATCTGCTTGAGAATGAGATCTCCTTGCTTTTGCATTATCTGTACATATTATCTGCTGCTGACAGGGCAGTGTGTCCCTCCTGCACCTTGGATTCTTGTCAGAGATCAAGGACATACAGTCCTCTGAACAACACGGGATGGACTGATGGGGATATGCAGAAGGACTGAATGGCCTGAAGACTTCCCACCACTTCTTTTTTTCCCTTTTGAGTGGTATGCATGCAGCTGTTTCACTGCAGGCCCTGCCAAGCTGGAAAGAGAGCTACATGCCCTAAGAGCACAGCAATCAGAGAATCTGCTAGATCTCAAATGCAGTATTTGCTCATGATGTGGTATTTGCCTCTTTAGTTTCACTGGAAGCCTATGAAGGGCAGTAGTCCTCTTCTACTTCTACGGGAAAAATGGGAATTGAGAAGCAGAAAGGGATTAGCAGAAATAAGCAGACTGCCTGCATCCAACTTTACGTAGGAAGGAGTAAGGAAGGAATGCTCCAGATCCTATTCCACTTTTCTGCTAGCAGAGAAAGAGGCAACTCTGCTCCATATTCCTCTTCAGAGATATGGGAAACAGATTTCGTGACAGTTCCAACTTTGACTTTTGGTCCTAAGTCAGCAAGATATATAAACACAGGCTTTTTGAATAGAATTACATCACTAGTTCCCCAGAGCTTTGACTTGAAATTGAAACCTCTTTGCTAACAAAAAAAATTCTAAGAAAAATATGTTATGTTCAGGAAGGTGTCAGGATCCAAGAACAGATTCTCAGTTCCCAGCTGCTGCAGTAAATATCTGATTGGTTCAGACTGCAATCCGTGTACCCAACATGAGTGATTTAACATCACCTTAAGGAAAGAGTCTACCTCGCTATGACATTTGTGCCAGTAAGCAGAAAACCATGTCCTTTTTACAGAGTCAAGGAATTCACAATTCAGATGTATAAATGCCTGATGGAGTCTACTGCAGAAAACAAGTCTCTTCCAGCTGCCATTAAACTTTACTCCTTTTCTTTGTTTAGATGCAAACACATTTTATTCTCTCTTCCTGTTCCTATGGTGATTTGAAGTGAAGGTGGCAACCGGACTGCAAACACAGCTTGTAATATTTTTCGTTCCATATTGAGAAAGATGAGAGCCCCTAATTTCTTGAAGGCATCTCTGAAATAAAATTAATATGTCTGTCCTGGTCAGGACAGTGAGATTTAATCTCCAAATAGCAAAGGTCAATTTACAGCAGGTGAGGAAGGGAGATAAGGAGACAGCACTGTCAATTGCAAAGGGAGTCTGTGAAAGAAAATAGCTGAAACAAATAGGAAACCATAAAATATAAATCTGTTCTTAGAGCACAAGTAAGTGATTGGAACAGTAAAGTATAATCCCTCTGATAGGCACAGTTCTTGCCAAATATCCTTAATTTTGGATGGCTGCAAGGATCTGCCACTTGGGTGGGAACAAAAAGCACATATAACCCTACTCTCTTGTGGAACTCCATGTAATACATCCGCATGATTTTTTGCCAACAAATCCATCGTGTGCCCTGCTGGAGCACAATGATGGGAAGCACAACGGATGGGTGGATGGCCAAGACAAGTTTTATGCACTCTGCTTAAAAAATCATTATCTAGCAGACTCCAGAAAGATTAAAAATTTCTTGGGAAGGACCCCAACAAGGCTCAGGTAATGTATTCCTCTTCCAACTTGTTTCAGATTTCAGCATAAAGTTCAGCATGCCATAGTTTTGAAATAAATGCAAAAATAAAACAAATACAAAAATTGAAAATGTCTATCACATTAATATAGCCTTGCATATAACCTGACTGATGAATAAGGTTATACGTAAGAGACTGGACAAGTGGACAGAATTACGTACTTGAGATGCAGTAAGATAATGCATCTAGCTTTTCAGTTCTTTTTAATACGTGAAAGGTCCCATTCAGTACATTTAAGTAAAATAAAACTGAAAGAAGACACATTTTCAATGACATCTCACCAGTACTTAGCAATAATGAACATTGCATTAAAGTTCAGAATGGCTTAGGACAACCTGCACTCCCAACTCAGAGACACCACCTTACAGAATATATCCACAGGGAGACAGTTTTGCAGAGAACAAATGTTTTTATCATTGGTATACTTTTCCTAAGATAATAATCTGTTCTCATTAAGTCAGTGTTTTTTTGCTTTTGATTTGAGTAGGAACATGATAAAAAGGACTACCTAGAAAGGACAGATGAAATCCTGATTTAGAATTGTTTCATTCAAATCTCATTGCAATAAAAAAAAATAAAAATCACTCAAACTGGCAAATATTCTCTCAGCATAATGGTTTCAAAATAGAATATAAAAAAATATACACAGATTATCATACAGTGATGATGTGTATGTAAGTGCCCCGCATGACTCTGTAGACTGTTCATTTAACTCCATCATTTTTATGGGAAAAAATAAACCAACACCTTTAAATTAAACTAGTTTTCAAACAGTTTTTCAGGTACGCAAGTTAAATTTGCCAAGCTCATAGCATATTTAAAAAAACCCTAAAAGTGCTATAAATTATTGAGTGACTTTTTTGATGTTTAGCTTCCCAGTTCAGTCACATAACTTACTGAAGATGTCATACGCTGCTATGGTGTCAAATTCTGCCCTAAGATCAGCATCCTAAAAAACTGAAATGCTATATTATACAGTTCGAAAACAGAGTTGGAAGATGGCATACTTGCAGACTCTGTTATTCTCCCAGAACAAGTGCATGTGACTATAGGTCTTCATGTGTCAAGTTACTGTTTTAATAAGAGAAGTTTAATACCAGGTAAATAATAATTAGCATGTAATTAGCCAAGAAACAACAGATCTTCAGGCAACCTAGTAAATACAAGTTACTGTTAGCCTTTAGCTTACATGGCTTGTACAGTAGTCTGAGCATGGTAGATATGTAACCAATAAAAAATGGCTGTCTGACTGCATAAATTTTACATGTTTTCTGGCTTTATAATTAATCCAAATGCTATAGCCAGTGCTCAGAGGCATCTTGCTTCAAAGACTTATGATCCATAAAATAAAGGATTTCACTCATTCAACTACATAATTTTACATCATCAGCAGACCATCAAACAATTAATTAATTATGCCAGACCACAATATGCTCTATCTCTATAACTATGAGCATTTGTACTCCAAATACAATTGGGAATGGAGTTGGTCTGGTGCTGTTTTCAGTTCCTGGCAGCAGTATGTTGAGGACAGACCGAACCTCATAGTAATTTCCTAGAAACCAAAATCAGGCCAAAGAGCAACAGTATAACATATTCTTACAAGACTGAAGGAAGCCAAACTACTGTTCCACTAATCAAACTAAAGATCAAACTTTATTAGTACCTTTTTCATCTTCCAATCAAAACAACAGCAATTCATACTACATGAGAATACTAATGTGGGTACAGGCATCTGCATGATGTAGACATCATGCCATATAATGTAAAGAACAATAAGTTTGGAAACATTAATATACTTACTATCATATATTTGATAGTAAATTCAATCCATTATCATATATGAGCTATAAATCAGTTCTGTTTATTAGCCACGCTTAAAACATGTGAGAACTACTCTGAAACAGTCTCAAAGATTCAAGAGAAAATAAAGGACATAACGTATGCCTTTGCTTTTCTTAGATCACATGCAAAATAAAATCTACCTTCAAATTTTGCTATTACTCCACCAGGCTTCCTAATGAATGCCAGTGGCAGAGGAAAACAAATGCATAACATAATACCGTGAGACCAAAAAAGGTACCAGACAAGTAATCAGCAGCCAACATGATGTAATACTATAAGGATTAAAGAAAGAAGTAGATTCAATAACTTACCCTCATCTTTGCACATGCATCCTGTGTTGATTCTGTGCCTCTTAGCTCTTTTACCAGCATAGAACCTAAATACTAAAATAAAAATCCATTAAACTTCACACAGCTTAAATTTCAGAACAGACAAACATAAGCAGAAATGCACTAAAAATGTCTCAAAAACCACAGTGGTACCAGACAGTTCAATATTGTGTGGTTTTACCTTGCAGTTCTCTGACAGATCACTTAAAATGGTGCTAATCAACCTATGAAACAGGAACGCACAGCATCAGCAGTGTTAAATCAGCCAGAGCCTTCGGAAACAGCACCTGACATATTCTAGCTTATCATCTCCACCACTCAAGCAACAATCAAGCACTGCAGGTTCCATCCAAAAAATGCCATTTGACTACAAAATGGAGAATCTGCTTTCTTCTTGCTGCTATCTGCCAAACTCGTATCAGTCTGTGTACAATCATGGATGTGAAGGGCAGCAGAGATGCTAACCTCTTTGTATTCAATCTGTAACCACTCTATGGGCAAACAGAGCTTGATGTCAGTAAACAGAAAACAGATCCGAGATGAAAACTAGCTTAAACAATTATCTTTTCCTAAGAAAAGGCTGACCTTGGACTATTATTTCAAAGCTGTTAGTGAATCTGAATGAGGCAGAGTGAGAGGCAACACAGAGTTCTGGGCCCTGGCTCAGCCAGCTAGAAGCTGCCATCCCAGGGCAAGCAAAGTTGTGCCTTCCTGACAAGTCTCCTGTCCTAACTCCTCTTCCTCACAATGTGATGTGCTGGTGTGAGCACCTTCCACACTCTGGCAGCAGGCTCTGCTCCTCTGGAGCTGTTGCTCTGGGAACTCTGTACCTCTGTCCATCAAGAGTGAACTGCACTGCTCTGTTGGGCATGGAGCTGGATACATCCTCCCTGTCAGTTGGTGCAGAGTGGTCTTGTTACTGTTAATGGGGCTGCACAGGGGTGTTTTCTCCTATATACACTACAGGTGTGCACATTCATTTATGTGCATGTGTTTGTATAGCTCTGTGAACAAGGGATGATTCTGTGTTTCTATATTTCACATGAGGATTTGGCTTAACTAATGAAAGAGGAAGAGGACAGCAAGTCAGGAAAGGGAGGCAAGAGACCAGCATGGCTGAACCAGGATCTGCTGGTCAAACTGAAGATGAAGAAGAAAATGCACAGGTACCATGGGAATAGTTTAAGGAAGCTGCTAGGCTGTGTAGGGATGGGGGTCAGGAAAAGCCAAGGCCCAGCTTAAACTGAACTTGCCTGGGATGCCAAGAAGAAAAATATCTACAGGTACCTGAAAAAGGAAAGTCCAGGAGGGTATACTCTCTCTACTGAATGACACAGGCAAGCTGGTAACAATAGACAAGGAGAAGGCTGAGGTACTTAATTTTTTTTTGCCTCAGTCTTCTCAGATAACTGCTTGTCACACAACCATCAAATGTTCGGTAAGAGGGGATAGGGGAAGCAACATCCCTCCCACTGTAAGAAAAGATCAGGTTCATGACTAACCTGAGGAACCTGAACATGTACTAGTCAATGGGTCCCAGTGAGATGCATCCTAGATCCTGATGTAATTAACCGATGTAGTTACCAAGCCACAGTCAATGATATTTGAAAAGTCATGGCAGTGAGCTGTGGTGACTGGAAAAAATGCAACATCATACCCATTTTTAAGAAGGATAAAAAGGATGACCCCGGAAACTACTGACTTGTAAGTCTCACCTCTGTGTTGGGAAAATCATGAATCAGATCCTCCTAGAAGCTAAGCAAAGGCACATGGAAGAAAGCAAGGTTATACGGGAAAATTAGCATGGGCAAATCCTGCTTGATCAACCTAGTGGCCTTTTATGATGGTGTAACTGCATCAATAAACAAGGGAAGAGCCACTGATGTCATCTATCTTGACTTCAGTAAGGCCTTTGACATGGTACCCCAAAACATCTTTCTCTCCAAATCGGAAAGATATGGATTTGATGGGTGGACTGTTCAACTGATGAAGAACTAGCTGGAGGATCTAGTCCAGAGAGTAGTGGTCAATGGCTCAGTGTCTGGATGGAGATCAGTGATGAGTGGTATCCCACAGGGGTCAGTGCTGGGACTGATACTCTTAATATCTTCATCAATGGCACTGACAGTGGAGTCAACTGCACCCTCAGCAAGTTTGCTGCTGACACCAAGCTGTGGGGTGCCGTCAACATACCACAGGGATGGGATGCTATATCCAGTGGGATCTGGACAGGCTTGAGCAATGGGCTCAGGTGAACCTCTTGAAGTTCAACAAATCCAAACACAAGGTCTTGCATCTGGGTCAAGGCAAAACCCACTACCGATACAAGACGGAGGATGAAAAGATTGAGCGCAGCCCTGCTGAAAAAGACCTGGAGGTACTGGTGGATGGCAAGCTGGACATGAGCCAGCAATATGCCCTTGCAGCCCAGAAAGCCAACCATATCCTGGGTTGCATCAAAAGAAGCGTGGCCAGCATGTCGAGGGAGGTGATCCTGCCCCTCTACTCTGCTGGTGAGGCCTCACCACAAGTACTGCGTCCAGATGTGGAGTCCTTAGTACAGGAGAGACAGTCCTGTCCAGAGAAGGGCAAAAAAAAAAATGACCCAAGGGATGGAACACCTCCAGTACAAAGACAAGCTGAGAGAGCTGGGGCTGATCAGCCTGGAGAAGAAAAGGCTCTGGGAGACCTGACAGAGGCCTTTCAGTATCTGGGAAAGAAGGAGACAGACTCTTGAGCAGGGTCTGTGGTGACAGAACAGGGGAGAGGGTAGATTTAGGTTGGAAAAAGTATTTTACAGTAAGGGTGGTGAGGACTGGAACAGGTTGCCCAGAGAAGTGGTGGATGTTTTGTCCCTGGAGACTTTCAAGGCGAGGTTGGGTCAGGCCTTGATCTAGCTGTGGATGTACATATTTATTGCAGGGGAGTTGGACTAGATGACCGTTAAAGGTCCCTTCCAGCTCTAAGGATTCTATGATTCTATGACAGCAGGCTTCTCTTTTCCTCCCCAGGAACACAGATATCTCTTTGCATTCCCACTGCAATGCCATGGCTTTTCTCAAGTCTTCCATCCTAAGTAAGCAACACAGGAGCTGAAGATGTCACATCACTTCTGAGAAACAGATAGGTGAGCTCCAGGAAGAGCGAAAGTATCAAAGGCAAAAGCCTCCTCCCAGAGGATGCTGCAGCTCAGTACTGCTGCCAGGGCCACTTCATTCTGTCATGTTGATTTGCCCTAGAAATACCGTAAGGCTGTTTAAGTTAAAAGGTGGCATGGGATATGGTTTAATGATGGGACTTGGTAGTTCAGGTTGACTGCCAGACTTGATGACCTCGAGGAGGTCTTTTCTAACCTAAATCAGAGGGTGAACCAGCTTCACGTTAAACAAAAAACTGATCAAAAATAACTTGTTACAGCTGAAAGCAATTCAGAACTGAACTACTTCTCTACAAGAGAGGTTTGACTCTCTTGTCTCTTGACCTAGACTGAGATATTTTCTGGAAACCCTTCAGTTAACACTGTATACTGCAGCAATCTCTGACCCAAAAGAAAATGTGTTAATATTTCAACATAGACAGTAGCAAGATGGTGATTAGTGAACAACAATTTACAGAGCATTATAACCAGAAGGGTGAGCAACAACCCTGTTACTAGATAAGGACAGGCAGAAAAGAACAAATAAAGGACATTCCTAAAGGACTGCAGATGTGAAAGGTTTGTAAGCCTAGCAGCTGTGAGTCCAGCTGGGGCCTTGAAGGTGACATGAATAGGGCTTTGGGCATTAATTTGATGGGATAGCTTGGTAACACAGATGAGCAACCAATTTTAACAAGTTCAGAAATTAGAAATTTACACAAAAGCCTACTAAGTCCAAATGTATCTTTTTTTTTGGAAACTTTGCTGTCTGACCTTTGGAATCCTTTGACTTTTTCTGGGAAGAATTCAGTTAAATTCAGCTTTTAAAATTTATTTTTTAATAGGCTGTGGCACAACAATTTGGAATTGCTAGTAAAACTTGAAAGCTACTTTGGGCAGGCATCAGGGAAAAAAAGCAAAAATACTGCTCTTGAGCTCATTGCATAACAATAGGAAGGAAGAGAAGAGCTGGGCAGCTCTGTTCCCATCTGCACAATACAAAAATCTTCAGCTGCAGACATTCAAAAGTGTTTCTCAGAGTGGACTGAAGAACAGACAAACAAATCACAGAAGTACTGTGCAATTTAGTTGTCAGAAGAATCTGAAATTCTGTGAGGGAATTTTGCTTTCCTTTCAGAAATGTTCCTTCTTAAAGACACAGCATACGGGAGCAATGTAGAGGATGTCAGCTCAACTGAGTGATATCACATACAATGAAACTGCCATCATTACTAACTTCTAGCGCAGGATTTTATTCTATAAAGCTCAGGTCATTACAGCGGAGGGAGCTAAGATGGTGTATTGATGCATGGTCCTTAGGAAAGAAAATGTCTCCTTCAACGCCACTATCTTGGATATTGTGATATTACTTCTTTCCTTCTAATCTCAACTTTCTTCAGTGACTCATATGCCTTTCAACCTAGTGCAAAGATTACATCCAATCATGAACTTATTGGATCAAGTAATGAGATAAGAGGTACTCTTCAGCTAAACTTATTCAATAACTACGAAAATTATTTGAAAAAAAACTTGAAGTCATTAAGCTTCCTTTTCAATTTGACATGCTGCAGAGCAAGAGAGCAAGCCTAAGAACATGACTTGCTGGGAAAGGTGAGAGGTTCCAGTTACTGACCATGGATGGTTACTGCATTCATGGCAATTTCTACCCCATGAAGGCCAAATGGAAGATACAGATGTGCTTTAGATAGTCTGTAGCACCCCTTCTGCCCCTCCTCAGAGGGATCCAGGCTGTGTGTCACTTGTGCTTACTTAGTCTCTAATTTCTCTATTTCTGGATATGCTTTAAAACAGTTTCAGTAGCCCCAGCTCTCCCCAGAAATGCCTTACTGTCTGTCAGAGAGAGCATTATTCTAAAAAGAACCCTGGATCCAAGTCCCTTCAAGTGAAGAGGATCTAAAACCCATATCCAGGACAAATGGTTAGCTCCTACTAAAAGCACTAGAACTACTGAGCCGTTCTTCTTTTTGAAATGTTGGCTTACTTCATTAGATGCCCACCTCTCAAGAGAATGCAGTGTCGTAGAACACAATGAAAGACCCTATTCAGCAACTTTACTGGTGCTTTCCAGCAAAGCCAAAAGCAGGAACGTAAGAGTTTAAATAGGTTGGCTGAGGAATGTCTTGAGATTTGTAGAAGCATGAGCTTCTACAAATTAACACTGCAAACTCAAGGTTTTAGAAACACGTTTTTCATTTAAAAAACAAAAAACCTGATACATTTTTTTGTACTTCAGAAGACCTTTCCCTCTTTCACAAGCACGTGTAACAGCCAGAGAACACTAATCATCTTTAGCTGTGAAGAGAAGCTCCGTTTCTCCAGAGATGGGAAGTGGGAATGAGTTACAGCTACTGGGACATAAAAATAAATGCTCCCTGCCCCGAAGGAACTGACTGCTACTGCTACTTCAAGCCATCATCAATTTATGTGATGTTTGAATGTCCCCTCATCCCATGGATGGAAAGCACTGCTTCAAGGACCATGACCTCCATCTTCCCCAGCTCCAATTCCCAAAAATAAGTGTATAAAATTCAGGCAAGGCAGTACTTATTTCAAACAACGTGCAATGAACATTAAATTAGACATAAGGATCCCAATATTACGTTGTTTTACTATTTGTCATATAAACACTAGACAGGCATTTGTGAAGGAAGATGAGTAGGGGCGCTTGCTCTCACTGTCATTTCTACAACACTTAGACACTTACTGATAGTGTCATTTCTCTATCACTATTGCTACGTGGGCTGACATATGCATCACCAAATTCATAGCAAAATGTACTGTGCATGCTTGTTTCTTATTTATACATATATATACAGTATTTCAGAGGAAGTATTTTGTTTCATTTAAAGTGATTGATAAAATAGTATAAATGAAAAAGAAGTTATCAAAATCTAAGATTTACTCCAAATCAAACCACTGAATTTATAAATACTTACAAATGCTTTATAATCGCATGACTGGAAGATGAGTTTCTCTGGATGATGTTGCCAATATTGTACAGGTGTTGATGCTGTGGCTTCATTTGGAGGTCGTAAGGTAATTGAAGGCTCTCCCCAGTCTCCCGTCTGAAAATCACAGTTGTTCAAGATATAAAAAAAATTGCAGTCAAATTCACTATAAAGTAGCTCTCCGTTGTTGTGACCAATTAACACCAAAGTTTTTTTATCCATATAGAGCCATGTAGAAGTTGCATTCACTTAGTTTAGTTACAGAATTTTCATAATTTAATTTATAATTCAACTCACCTACTGGCATGTTCAATGATAATTAAATCTATTTACATTTAGAGTAAAATCTTCCTTAAAAATAATTGTTTACAATATGTGCATGAGGATGAGAGCGCTTGAAAAAAATAATTAGGTGCACAAAAGTGCCATTCATAAATTCTGTTCTTTGCTTTACAAGAAAAATTCTTCCATTATCCAGCATATATAACTGATAACTAACTTTCCTAAACGGCTAAATAACAGACTTTCCTTTAATCTGCAGACGTAGTATATACGACTCAGACACGAGCCATTCTTTAATCTCTTTATGAATATTTACTTTGATCACCTTCTCTTGATGTCTCTTTGTAGAGTTGCTAACTTTCTAGCCCTTTCACACCATCACTCTCATTGAGACGTGTGATTGTCTTCCTGGAACTGGGTAGGACTGTAGTTTGTTGCCAAAACCTTTTGGAGGGCACCCTCCCTTTCAACGCAGGCAGCTGTACAGGAATCCCCACAGCATAGCAGAGCTGGTCTGGGCCTCACCTGCCACTGAATATTTCAGACATGATTTTACTGGATATGGACTGCCATTTGGGCTCTTTGAACCCTTTGAGGCTACTTTCATCTACAATCCCATAGATGTGGGCTTCCTCCTCTTCTGAACACCTCTTACCTCTGCCACCAGCCCCACTTCTCCCTGTTTTGCCCAGTCTGGTCTGTCTCAGAATTCCCTTTCTCTTCTCTCTGTGTTTTGTGCACCTTATCCTTCTTCCTCCCTTTCTTCTTCTCTCTCTATTCTAACTATTTTACCTTCTTCAAGATGACTATTTCAACTTGGATTATCCTACTTCTTTCTTTACCTGCATATATATATGTATTATTTTCTGTGCATGTAATGTTGTTACAATGTGTTGAAACTGATATCATCATTTCACACAGACTATAGCTAGAAGTTAAGACTTCTACATCAAGAAGTTGTTCAAGCATCAAAACACATGAAAAAAATCTTACTGAAGACATTCAAAAGTCTGGCAAACCATCACATCCTACTAATTAAATCAAGACAGAGTAAACAAAACGAGTACATCATTTTTAGGTGTCACAAAATAATGAAATGACACACATTTGCACAACTCTCCAATGAAAAGCAAGAGATAAATCTGGAAACATCAATATTACCCTATGGAAACTTCAAGTAAGTGAGCATCATAAAACAAGTTGAACTTACTTGATGTTGACACTATTAGTACATCTACAAATTATACAGCATTACAATTTCTTTTTTGCCTAGTTAAGTTGTTCATTTGGTATGGGCTATTACTTGAACCTCAAAAGGGAAGCAATAGTAATTGCTTCAGTTTTGGCATTCTGTATCCATTCAAATGAATCTTTCTGACCACTAAATTATAAAACCCTTTGTCATATTTAATCTGAATTGAGAATTTGATTTCTTTAAGCAGCAGCTTCTTTATAAAATATGGTTTCAAACATATTACAAGGGGTAAAGGCCTGCACCATTGTAAGTAGATTGCATTTGGCTACAAGAGAAGGTGGACTACATCCATCACAACTTCCCACAGCAAGCTGAACTGTTTGTAATGAAGTGTTCAAGGCCTAACTAAGGAAACACTTTTTTTTTTCCTTTCCCCAATGAAAACATATTCCTGCATTTTTTGTGTAAGGAAACAGATCTCGGGAGGTACATTCTAACCAAATAGCAAAAGGTTATAACAATGGAACAGGAGTGAACTCAGGAGAGAAACGATAAAAGTACATCTTTTGACCATCTGTCATTCCACTGAGGAAGCCCAGAGATGACAGTCAGGGAGGAGCAGGATATCTACAGAATAAGGGACATGGGGTAGTGCTCCAAAACCTTTTATTGCGCTAGACTGCTTGTGCCTGTCCTCATGTACAGAAAATGGATGCTCCTGATGAATTAAGAAGGGTACATAAGGAGTAAAATGAATGCATCATTTTACAGTTTTAATATCTTTCATACATAAGGGAGCGAATGCACGGAGAACTGTGTTCTTTCCATCTATAGATAAAGTGTGGTGACAAGAGGAACTGACTATCTCTCATACTGGTTCAATTTAATACAGGAACTAGGAAGCAATAATCATGAGGAAACAAAAAATAATCTTTCATCAGGCTGTTAACACCAGTGTATGACACACTTGGAGAAGGCCTGTGAGGAAACTGTACATTTGTATCCATTAACTACTCTATAAATACATACAGCCATCCAAATATTTCCTCCTTTTATACTAGACAAAACAAAATCAGTACAGTTACCATATGTGTCTCTGGATGATCTAGATGCACAATATTGCTGAGATTTAGGGAAGGCAAAGAGAGTGAATTTCTGCTGTTCCTGACAGATGTCTGCAGCTGAAGAACATTCATGTACTCCTGTACAGTTTGCAGAGAGAGCAGCTACTAGGGACAACTACATAAATATCACAGGTATAGGTTATTAAGATGGATGTAGGAGATGATTCTGGGCAGCCTGGTCTGGTGGTTGGTGACCCTGCACATAGCAGGGGGGTTGAAACTAGATGATCGCTGTGGTCCTTTTCAACCCAGGCTATTCTATGATTCTATGTAGCAGGATGAAGAGTCATACACAGTCAGAAAAACTTCTTTTGTAACTACATGAAACAAGTTTTTATATTCAATAGAAGCAGCTTCTGGTCTCATTTTCCTTTATTTGTTTTCAAAGTTCTTGTTTTCAAGATTCTTAAGTTTTTAAACTGTATTGTTGCTTGTATTCAGATCTTAGTTTGAGTTACAACAAGATACTCTCCAAAGCCAAACATCATTAGAAGTATAATTTCTATTATATATTCCGATTAGATGTTCCCCATCTGATTTCCTTTTAAAAAAATATTTTTTTAAATGAAGGGGAAGAAAAACATTTAAACAGCATTAAGGCAGCTGAAATACTTTTCAAAATCTCATCTGGGCTTAAAAACCGAAAACCTCTATTAGAAAAAGAAGTTCTTCAGCTCACTCACAAAAGTCAGATACTAAAACTCTGAGACTTAGGATGATTATGATTGTGTCATGATGGCAATTAACTTCAGTTAAAATACAAAGGTGCAAGAAGATCTTTGACCTAGAGAAGAGCTGAGATGAAGTCCGGGGGCAGAAAAATATGAATTACAACTAATTGCAAATCTGAGGAGCTGGTGTCAAACAGCTCATGGTTGACGCACTGAGATTCAGGCCTTTAATAAGCACTCGAACATTTTCAAGCACTGTGGAAACATTTGTAAATGACTTTGCAGGACTGATTATGATATTTAATTTAGTTTTTCAAAATACTTATAGGATATGGATTGTCTTGTTTGAATATTTAATTTGCAATTATAATAAATAATCAAAAGTTTAAGCTTATGCATTTTTTATGAGACAATATAGGTATGGAGATTTTTTTTAATCTGTTTGAAAAGTAGAAAGGCAGGAGATAATTTATTCCTCATCTCACTTCACAGCTCGTCAGACAGCTGTGCAATTCCTCACATGGTTTTCGTTGTGCTGCCTGTGCTCTGGTGTTCCTGCCTCCCAGGATCTCTAGCCAGTGTCTTTCCTCTCTCTGGCCTCAGTCACCTTGAGAAAAAAGATGTTTTGTTCCACGTTTTGCAGGTAAAGAATTTACATCTCAAAGCTGTTTCAAACAAGGTGCCGGAATGGATGAGTTCCAATGCTTTTACAGTGACAAATTTTTACCACAAAGGGTACGGACTTGAAGACCAATCTCTCATGCCCTTGCAGTGCTTCGTTACCCAGAAAATGGGTGAATGTGCACTTCAGGGCTCTTGGAAGGGTTAGATACTTGATGTCAAATGAACTGCAGAAGTAGATTAGTACTATTCGGCCATTTTTACAAGTGTGGCACAGATTATTTTAGTTCATCTCATTCCCTGAGAACCATATTTGACTTGCATTAAAGGCACCTGGATCAGAGGTAGTCAAATCTCACTAACTTCTATAAAATCTAACTCCTGCCTCATCTTTATATTAAAATGATGAGTTAAAAAACATCCCTGCTCTGGAAAAGCATGCCTGTTTTTTAACGGCATGAACATATTCGTTTTTATCAAGGCCTACATCTTGTAACTCTTCACCTGTTGAGGCTTCATGACTAGTTATGGGAACATGCATCAGTTACCATGACAACAGTACATGGGAGCACACAGATACTCTGCTTTTTGCTGAAAAATTAATACTTTTCGCTCTGTAAGAATTTTAAATGTTCTGCAGGCCAGTCAAATCCTAATTATTTCCTTATTATTCTCTTAGTTGTTTTTATATTTATTTTTTGAAAATATGGAAATGGGCTCATGGTGTACTTATGTTTTGAAAGACGAAAGCTCAGTAGCCAAAATGGCTCCTCCCTGCCAGAAATACTGAAAGAAGGCAGTTATATAACAGAAACATCTATAGGTCCTCCCTCCTCCAGGGAGACCTCACTGTGGCCTTCCAGGACATGAAAGTAGCTTAAAAGCAGGAGGGGAACCAACTTTTACACAGCCTAATAGTAACAGGACAAGGGGGAATCACTTTAAACTAGAAGAGGGGAGATTTAGGTTAGATGTTAGGAAGAAATTCTTTACTTGCAGGGCAGTGAGGTACCGGCACAGGCTGCCCAGAGAGCTGTGGGCTCCCCATCCCTGTTGGCACCCAAGGCCAGGCTGGATGGGGCCCAGGGCAGCCTGAGCTGGTGGGGGGCAGCCCTGCCCACAGTGGAGAGTTGGAACTTGATGATATTTAAAGTCCCCTCCAACCTAAGCCATTCTATGATTCTATGAACCTCAGAACAGCTGTGCTTGGCCAAGTCTGAACTCCTGACTCTTGTGCTCACCACACTGCAGTACAGAAATAACCAACTCTGCTTTCACTTGCACAGCATGTGAGGCTTTGTCACAGAAGTTATGAAAATTCAGAGCACTGCCTATGCTACCTCTGATTTCCAAAAGGTGCCTTACTGCCTTTGCAAACACAGCACGTTCCTCAGCTGGGCAAAGCCTATAGATTAAGACAGAAAGGGCAGCACAACACACTGTGGGGCTGAAACTGTGCAAACTGAGCTGTTTACACTGTTTCGTGCTTTGAAGAAGTGAGCAAACAACAACACCAAGAACAGAAATCAAAGCTCCCACCGAGCAAGACGTCTGCTGGCACCTCCACGTCCTGTATGCGCATCATACAGCCCACATACGCTGACCACACGGCACGATACACGATGCGTGCACACAGAGTCCCAAAGGAGAGTGGACAGGTTACAAACTTTTTTTGTAATTCCAACAACATGACACCCGAGGAGAACAGCACGGCGACAGACTGTACATCCATAGAGTGACAACATAGCCATTTATCACTGTATCTTACATTATGAACCTGATGGATCGATGAGAAAGGATATCCTGCATTCTGGTTGGTCCAGATCTCACAGACAGAGGACTGCTAATATAAACAGAAAACTACATCTCATCTTGTAAATATTAATGCACCGCAACTGCCAAAAGGCAGGAATAATTAAGAAAAGGCTTGCAATAACATTAAAGAAGGAAGTAAAACAGCTGTTAAATTTTTTTTTTTTTTTTTTATTTGCTGATAGAATATTTTTGGATGACTGGAAGGAAACATAGCTTATCCAGTGATGTTAGAAGAGGCTTCAAACTGTGAGTACAAGAAAACAGTTTAGTCACAAGTACTGGTGATGTAAAGAGATAAAGTTATGCAGGCACAAGCAGAAAACGCAGAGAGTAGAAGAAATATTGGTTACTTTCAGCTTTCAGCAGGGAGGAAGTTTGAAGACAACACCCCTAATTAAGCTTCAATATTTGAATCTCACTCTGCTGGAGACTTTCACAATAGAGGAAGGGAAAAACAGTGCAATATAGTCAACAGGAAAGATTAGTTTTCTTTGTAATAATTATCAGAAAAGAATTGCAATGGAGTGAAGCAGTCAGCCACCATCTCCTTCCAGCAACATTTCCTTTGCATATAGAGATACAGATAATATTACCTTTGGTATTGACCATGGCTCCACTTTGCAATAAAAAAGTTTCTTTCCACCTTCTATGTTGTTTTATAGATAGCATGTAGTAGGCCAAGCAAAGTAAGCATACCGCAGCATCTCTAACAAAAGCAACAGAGATAGGCAAGTGCAGTGTTCACCAGCATCCGTTAAATATTTCCTTGTTTGGACAGTCATCAAGAAAGCATCTGTGGCACCTCAGCAAAAGCTAAGACAACATTTTACAGTAGCCAGGCAACTAAAACAAAGCAACTGCCCGCAGTATCTCAGGCAGGCAGCAACAAAAGGCAGTAGAGATGCATGAAAAATTCAACTGCAGCATCCAGAATATCTAGCGATTAATATATCAGTAATTTAACAGCAGCAGAGTGTGCACTGCTGGTCCTTGGCAGCAGCAGGAATTCAGCATCAATGCTCAGAACAGATAACCCTTGAAAATGCAATTCCACTCAGAAATAGGGCTCTTGATCTTACCTTTAGCAGCCTGAAACCTGGCTGCCTGGCTGGCGGCAGACTGGGCCACCAGCTCTGGTCAGCACCGGGCAGACTGGCACCCTTTAGACAGATGACTGAACTACCAGACAGGCTGGTGGCTGCCTAATGTTGTTATCATTCCTTATTTCATGATTTCAAGTGCATGCACACACATCCTTTTCCCAGCTTCAATAATTTTTAAATTTTCCCATATTCAGTTAATTTTTTCTTCTCTATCTTGTTTTTGAAGTTCCTTGCTTTTGCTCAGTGACAAGCAAAGTTCTATGTTTTAACAGCATTAATTAACTAAATTAGTTAATTAAGACTTTGTCTTTGGTTTACTACCCACTGCCTCACCCTCTGCAACTTGCTACATTGCAGTCAGACCACCCCTGTGATGCACAGGTGTTTACTGTGCAGGGTCAGCAGCACCCACCCCTCCAGCTACTCCTGTTGCACACTATTAAGATATTTCACCACTTGGCACTAGTTGTCTTTTTCTCCTCCTCTGTGTCAAGCATGTCAACTTACTTCTGGGTGCTCCATCCACGCCCATCACTGTGATGCCTATCAGAGGTTACGCCTCAGCTTTTCAAGAACAGAGTAAAAGTAAAGGCATTTCCATGCCAGGTGCAGCATCCCCAAGCACCTGGCAGTCAAGAAAACATCCTTCAGTGCTGTTTGGATGCACTATCTGAGGTCCTGAAAGTGGTAAGGAATTCAGGTCGGCACTGCAAACTAATAGACATTTCATTTCTCTCCAGCACTGAGGGTGGTGGCAAAGGGTTGCCAGGATGTTGTATTGTACAGCCAGTTCTCACTACCTTGAGGTTATCCTCCAGTTCTGCCTCTGCTGAGGACCTGCCCTTAGGAGTGCCTGGTGCCTCCTGCCAGAGGCTGGTATAAATAAATACACAATACAGCTACAGCTGCCTTCGTGCTAACTCAGGAATAGGTAACATGATGCTGCAGTAAGTGCATATGCAAGCTTTAAGTTGCCACACTTTAAACAAGGCAGGGAATCAATCCTTTCTTACACATGCCGTGCTGTCCACCCTGTTCCTCCCATCCCAAAGAGAGGCCTGTGGGATTGTGCACTCACTCCAAGAGCTGGCAGCTCTGAATCTGATGCTGTGCTCCAGCCAAGGGAATTCACACCTACGTGTATCACCTTCCTCCTCCCTGGGTTAAAGCAGCAGAAGACAGGCTGCCTTCAACCCCTATTATAAATGAAGGGAAGTCTTCCTTAAGTCCTTGGAGAAAGAAGAGTGCATAAAGTCAGTTTGAAGCACTCACCTGCAAGAGACAAGTTCTGGGTCCCGGTCTCTGCTTCTTACCTCCAGAACTAATGGTTTGGAGGATGTAGGATTTAAATTGCCTTTAAGTAGAGGTGACTTGATTTATTAAAAGAGGACCAGCAGCAAATGATAATGTGAATGTCTCTTGAATGTATGAATGGCCAGTTGGAAGTACAGCCGTGCAAAAGTCATTACTCAGTTCTGCACTCATTAATGTTTGAATGGCAAAGGTACTGATATGCCATACAAAAGGAACATTAATTTTACAGAAGGTAATGAATTCAAATTCAGAAACCAACCTTTTCCTTGCACCACTGTAAAAATATTTAGCATTTCCTATATGCATATTTTATGTCTTCAAAGTGCTGAATTTTTTTAATGAACGATGAAATCCCCCTGAGAAGTACTGAAAGTTGCATACCCCTGTGCTGAAGTGGAAGAAACCACAAAAAGGAGAAAGGTTAAGTGAGCATCTGAGGACAAGAAATAGGCAGTAGGAAGGAGGGTTGGGATTGCAGTTCAAACACACCCAAATTTCAGTTCCCAAAAGATATGCCCTCAAAAAGAAGGAAAATAACTAAATCCATGCATGCACTTCCACCATAATAATCGGAAATACATTTGGGCACCCAGTACCTTTCTCACAGTAGGCTTGTGAAATAACATTTTCCTAAGGAACATAGCAAACAACAGCAACAAAAAGCAGCTGATTAGTATGATTAGTATCAAGCATGCATTTATCTTATTTGTATGCATTTATCACTTGGGAAGAACAACACTCAAACAAGAATGTGATATACTACGATACTACACTTTTGTGATACTGTATTCCCTTGTAAAGCTGTAGGTGCTCCATACATAAAAGATTTCCATCTAGTCACTGTAGGACACAACTCTGATGGACAGGAAGGGAAAGAAAGGGAACAGATTTCACAGTACCACGCGCTACTCATGACGTAGGGGCTGGCTAACAGTGGTAGAGGGAGGAGATGAGGCTCCATGTCCTGCTCTCCGCTTGCTTATCTCCCTTACTTCCCCAGTAGTCAGTTCTGACATAATCTCTGACTCACTTTATGACTATCTTTTACATGAGTTATTTTATGGACATTTTCACTTCTGTTTATATAACTTAACATCCACGATTTCAAGACAACACATTTACATACACTGTTCCTGCTAACTTCATCTGTGAGAGAAGTCAACAGGGCCTAACTATCTCAGACACCTGCAGTGAAATTAGTAGCCAGTCACTTCACAAATTGTTTCTGCATTCCCATCTGCTTCAACTCTTTCTAATTACTCAAAGATTTACTGGAAAAAAACGTAGGACAGGGCATATATTGGTCTTCAATGTTGCTGACTGTGAAGGAGGTAACTTAATGCATTGTAAAGTGAACAAAATTACCCAAGAAGTTAGCTTAAGCTCCATCTCTAATGAAAAGGATGACTTTGCTGATAATCTGAAGACATAAATTACTGAAAGTGATCACAGGCAGCAAGACTGTTAATGGAAAGGGTACTATTTATAAAGAGAAGAAAGAAGGAAAGCAACAGAAAATTAAACCTGGAATTCATATTCAGAAGGAAAAGGAGCTGGGTAGAAGGCAGCCCTGACATATTCAGCATTGGTCAACTCGGTGGCACTCAAGGAGATGTTGAAGATTTGCCTAAACTAGGAGCAATTATCTTCAAAAAGTCATGGAAAATACTTGAAACAACAAAGGAAGAGCTAAAGAAATATTTAGGTGGGGAGAAAAGAAAGATTTGGGAAGTTATTGTCAGCCTAAAGGCAGGGGCCAGCAAAATTGTTTAAAAATCCGGTCACCAGATGTGTCCTTGTTCTCATGCCCCTTGAAACATGACATTGCTCCTGGACATGTAAAATAAACACTCGGGAATGTTTGCATGGATGTGTGCATTCTGTACCTAGCTTTCTATATATTAATTTACGCATGTATAAAACTGAAGCTAATAGAAAAGTGTCATCTTGCCTGCGACACGTTACCTACCAGAGCTTCCACGAGGCAAGAAAATTCAAGATGTTTGTGATTAAATTGTTCATTATGAATCATCTCAGATCAAATTTTCTTCCTTTGTTGGAAAACTGGCCTACTAAATCAGCAGCAGAAAGGAGAAGCGCAGCAGGACTTGGGTGACTTGATGAGACCATTCCTTGTACACAAACTAGCTTGAATCAAAATGCAGTGATTGCACAAGAAATTGAAATACACATTTAGAGAATAATTATTAGTATTTAAGCACAACTTGATGGGAACGTGTTGAGAGCATCCACAATGATCTACATCACGCAGATCTTCTGGAGAGAATTCAGAATTCAAGGACATTCCAGAATCAGGTATGAATAGAAAATGGATTTGACCAACTGCAGAAACTGGTCAGATAAAATTTAGCAAGAGTATTCCTTTGTAAGTTGAGATTAAATAGACAAATAAAATAGCAGTGTTTAATGGAAGAGGACACCACAAGTGAAATATAAGTTTTGCAAATGAATAAGCAAATAAAACACAGAATAATGGGGATTGGAATGAAGCTGAGGAAGCTTACATTAAAACCTCAGCTCAAAACTTGAGTAGCTGTGAGATGAGATCAGGTTGCTAAGGGTTTCATCCTGCCAGGTCTTGAAAATCTCC